TAAAATAAATGTTAGTTAAAATAAATATAAACCCTACAACCTAAACATGAGTGAGTACTTTGACCTAACAAATGAGTACCTAAACATGAATCTTCAGAACAGCAACTGCAGTAAAGAAAAAATATTTGCAATGCCATCGAATATTTTTCTTATAGAAAAACAAAGAAAAGAACACTTAAGAATATTAAGTTTTTGTTAAAAAAAATAGAAAAAACTTTTTTTTTGCTTCCTTATGACATTTTAGAAATCCTTCGGTGTGCACTCGGAAGGGAGAGGCAAACCGATTGTCGCGGACAGCTAAGGCTTTCGCTGTGCCATTGCCAGTCGGTAAAGCAGGTACCCAGATCGAACATCATCAATCAGTTCGTTGTCGCATTTCTAAGACACCTCCAAAGAAGACCAAAATTATTCGGAACCATGGTGGTTATTTCAGTGAGATAACTGTGTGTGTGCGTGTATATATGTTTCTGAGTATTTACAGGAATTTTATTAAAAATATTGGTATATTTGGAAACATTTTGAATAAAGAGATGGAAACATTCTTGACAGTTAGCGTGAAAAAGAAAAAAGTCTTCCCATCGAGTTGCTTCCAGCTAAACCGAAAACCAGTGACAACAAAATATTTCAATGACAACGTCACCACCCCTTGGCCTTTCTCCAGGTTAACAGTCTAGGGAATGGGAAGATGTAGATAGAGGAGGGACGAATGAAAACACACAAAGAGCTTGATCGAGTCATAATTATGAATCTAAATATAAATGCGGTGTTGGAAAAAAGTATACTATCCTCATTGCAAAGGCTGTTCATTACTACGAAACCACTGGTGCGTCATGCACAATAGAGCAGGTATTGTTAATCCTACTGCCTTATTTTTCATTGAAATGTATTATAGTTTTCCGAATGTGTTCATTCATGAAACCGTGTATTTGAAATGTTCTAAACCCAACAATTCACTTCATAACAGTTTACCGTTTAAGCGTATTGTTTGGTTGGCAATTTAAAATCGAATTCTAGTTTTCAAAATCCACGATTAGCTCTGTAGCCAGTTGTGAGTGTTTTCTTTTTCAGTTTTAAGTTTCCTGATAAATATTCTCGCAACATTTCTATTAATCCCAATATAATTTAAAATAGATCTGATTATTTTAACTTTGTTTTTATTACAAGTAAAACAGTAAAAATGAATAATATTTACATTAGCATTAGGAAAATTATTTAAAGTATTAATTTTTTTTATACAAAGTTTGTTCTCGTTTTAAATCAATTGTGTAAATGCTTAAATGCGATTATTTTGTTGCCACTTGGATCTTTAGAAAAGTAGTCATTGCTGTGTCAATCAGCAGTTAATTATCGCCCACCTTAGCATGTAGTGATGACGCAACTACCTTTTAATTTAGAAAATTTGTAAATGTGTAAGAAACAGTGTCCTAAATTTGTTTTAATTTTTTTAGTTGTTCAGTTTTGGCTTCTGCTGTGCATTAATTTTCGCTTTCATATCATGTATTTCTTTTATGCAATTTAAAATCCGAATTTACTGGTTAATAATAAATGATTAGAAGATATGAATAGAATTTCTTTCTTTGACGTTTAGAAAAGTACGTTTATCTTACCGCACTGCATAGAAATGTTCAAAGTTTTATAAAAGTAATAATCAATGAAAGAATGAGTTATACATATCATTACTGATATCAAGTTTAAAATATCGGAACTTTTGTCTTGAAATTAAAACAAAGGTTAACTTGACGTACTTATTCTTTGCATCTATTATTTCGTTCTATTTCCGAAACACTCCTACTGCATGTTGTCAACAACATAAATAAAGAAGTTTAAAATAGTAAAAATTATCTTTTTCTGATCTAAAATTTAGGTTAGCAGCTTTTAAAATTTGTGTTAGAAAGTTTTAAAATTTCAAAAATGAATCGTTGAATCAGTCCTATTAGAAAATGTTAAAATATTTGAGAAAAGTGCCTCTAATTTAAAAAAAAGGTGGCCACATAATGAACAATAGTGTGTAATTAAAAAGATTTTTAACTCTTATGTAATTAAAAATCATTATTTAAAATGGCAATACGTGTTACGTTTTCTGTTAAAAACTTGATGTGCTTATGTTCATCACTTGTACTGACGTCTTTTTGTAGTAATCTGTATACTTGTATTTTAACACCCTGAAGAACACAATTTCGTGTCTTGGCACAAAAGAAATTGCTGATACTTAATTTGCAGAAGATGTTTATATCAAGCTATATGCGCCAGCGAACTAGTAGAAAAAGTGTACAGCTAAGTCTTGAATAATTAAATCTTTCTTTATGAAACAAATGCAAAAGCCTTTACATGATGTTCATTTATGAATGAATAATATCATAACAATTTCTTTTGTACTTTGTTTACTATTATCTGGAACAGCTGATATTGAATGTGTGATTTTATATTCTATGCCTCAAATTTCTAAGGATTAGTTCTTATATTAATAAAATTGTTTCAGCTGTTAAATTTACATTTGAATAGAAATATCAAATTGAAAGTATATTTACTTTTTGTGATTTATTTATTTTTATTTATTTATTTATTTATTTTTTGCTTAGAGAATATTTCAGAATTTTAAAATCATATAAATTTATGTTTTTAATATTTACTTCAAAAAGTTAAAATTCTTAATAATAAACAAGTTTCAACTACTAAACTCTATAGCTTTCAGACAGTAATTAAAAATTTTATTTTCTTTATTTTAATTATGTTTATAATATTACTTCTGTGAAAATAAAATACTCATCAGTTATGAAAGGAAATTTTATCGAACTAGAAGAAATTGCTCTGTAACATTTTATAACATTCATTACTGAAATTTTATAACATTAAATGGCAGTGATGAACGGACAAAATTTTACTTTCCAGTTATTGGGGAAGTTTTTTAAATGGAGTCGGTCAAATTATTCAAACTGCATCATTTTATTATTGAGCTTTTAACTTCATGTAAATAATACTTTAAACCAGTGGTCGGCAAACTCATTAGTCAATAGAGTTAATTATCAACAGTTCAACGATTCAAATATCTTTTCAGAACCACATTTTTTAAACTTAAATTATATAGGTAGATACATTTTTTTAAACTTAAATTATATAGGTAGATACATTGTTATTCCCCTAATTAGGTTACTCTTACGCTGGCTTTTACTTAGAGCGTCTTCAATCTGATCAACGTACGTTCTCGAGGTCAACCCTCTTCCAAGTCTCCCATCCACACTTGCCTTGTATACCCATTTCGTGTATCTTCTTTCGTTCATCCTCTCTATATGTCCAAACCATCTTAACATACCTCTCTCAATTCTCAATACTACATGATTTTTCACTTTACAACACTCCCTAAAATTCACTTAAAATTTAAATATTTAAGTCTTATCTAAACTATGTAGGTAACTCGAATAAAACTTGATATTACACTTAATAACGATACTGTTTATTTATAAAAGGAAACTGTACGGTATCCAAAATCTTAAATCATGATAATGACGAACAAACACTAACGCGAACAATGGCTCTGCATCTCTTTGGAAAGTTTGTGTAATTCAGGTTTGTATGTTGCTGTTTTTTGATTTTAAGCATGATTCCAAATTCTTATCATTAAGATGACTTATCAGTTTACTTTTGATAAGGTTCATGCTTGAAATTATTATTCTCATAAATATGTAGACCCGAGTAAGGAAGAACAGCAAACGCTAGTTTTCTCAGCTGATTATATGAGTCAGGAGTATTATTCCATGTGGTTAATAAGCAACGTATCTTCCTTTTCCAGGTCTTTCAAAGCAGATCACTTTTGTTGTGAACTAAGCTCACATATGGTTTTCTCCAATTTTTCTATATCAGGCGCTTAACACTTTCAAATTTCGAGCTCCATAATTCTTTGTTTTTAAATTTCAGCAACTGGATTTCAAAGTTACCGGTATCAATATTAAACAGAAAAATATTTAATTCTTTTACAGTAGTAGTATTAAGAGGTTTTTTTAACAAAGGCTAACGTCGCTTTGTTTTTTCTGAATTCCTGAAACCTGCTGAGAAAAACTTCTCTCATAGTTAAAACTGTTGTTTTGAAATAGCAAATGACAATATGAGCATTACTTTCTAGACGATGCTTCAACAGGTTTGGAAAATGAATCAAATTTCCTATTCTGTCAAAATCTTGAGCTAAAAAGGATAATTTGTTTTCAGATGAAATAACGTTTTCTAACTTCGAAGAAATTGTATTTCTTTTCCCCTGTAGTTTTTGTTTAAGCTGATTTAGATAAGACGTAACGTCTACCATGAAATAAAGTTTTTGGCTCCACTAATCGTTCGTTAGTTCTGGATAATAAACATCCTTTTCAAGGAGAAATGCATTAATTTCTGTTAATAAGGACCCGAAACGTTTAAAAACGTTTCCTGTGTATAACCAACGCACTTTGTTATGCAGCAGAAGATCTGCATACTCACTCTCCATTTCAACTAAAAATTCTTTAAACTGGCGAGGATTAAGAGCTTTAGCTATAACGGAGTTGATAGTCTTAATCACCAATTCCATAACATTGCAAATCTTTTCCGGAAATGGTCCCACCAGCGGCCGAGCGGTAAAGTCGCTGAACACTGGTAGTTCGGTCCGAGGTTCGAATCCCGCGAACGGGCTGGCTGCATGGGCGTTTTCGTGGGCGTTCACTTTTTAACGTGTATACGAGCCAGTTTCCCTTAGAATGTCCTCCACGAAGGAATCCCACCCCTTAGGCAGATAGCCCTACTGTGCTTTGCCATAATTAAGTAAACCAAACTAAACCAAACTTTTCTGGAAATGTATGCGCACAAAACGCTTCTTGATGAATGATACAATGGTATGTAAATATCTCTTGACTAATATCAGTACAATGGCCCATTTATCAATACATCAGTAAACATCTTGCTAGAATCAGTACAATGGCAGTTTTAACTTGATGCACCAAATAACATAAAAATGAAATTTCGTTTAAAAATATGCAAGTGTTTTTAGACATTTCCAGTTTGAAGGTTTTTCATATTATATGCAAACCAAACTAGTCTATATATTTTATGTTAGCTAAATTCAGTTAATAGGAAAACTTTTGCTTCAGACACTGGAAGAAACTTCAAATTTAAAAGGGCTAAAAGCTAAAAATCCTGACAGTTTACGTTATTTGGTTTTTCATCCAAGTTAAAATTGTCATTGAAAGGTATATTAATTCAAAACATTTCATTAGTCAAAATTTGGCATATGATAGTTACTACAACAGTACAATTTAATGTTACGTGTTGGTTATAATTAAAGTTCCATTTAGACATGGTCATAAAAGGAACACTACGGACCAAATGCTACCAAACCTGGTAATCGTGTAAAGGAGGTCGTGGGAATTGTTAGAAATATTACGAACATGTCGGTGTATCGCCTTTTTCAGTTCCGCCAAATTGTTTAGATTATTTGCATAAATCATTTGCTTCTTCCTGCCGTAAGCCAATTACAAGCCATTGCGGTTTTGGATAATTCCACAAACACTTTCGTTTCAGGAACAAGTGAAAACGTTTTAACCGATATCTTCATGTCTTAGAGACAAATTCAAGCTTCAAAAATCACAAATTATCGAACTGTAAGAAAACGATTCTGGGATGCGCACACTTTTGAGAGTGATTTGCAATCTCACATTTTCTAATCGCTAATTTGTGGTTTTCATGGACTTATTTTTCCGTTACATGGATGGCGCACTCGACTTATATCGCCTTTAAATGATAATATTGTTGCGTTTTTCTTTTCTTCTGACACCAGTTGCTACGTTATTTTCTTCCTTCACGTTCTTACGGGGTTTGTGTGGATTTGGAGC